GCTGAAATCATTCTAGGTATTTGTCCAGTTAATATAACTGTAAAGATGAATGGACATTCCCTATATTTAAAGAAAAAGTTTACTACTTCCTATACTGTTGTATACAATGTACCTTTATGCCATCAGAATTCAGAATAGATGAAATGGCTCTTTATTAGCTGGAAGAAGTCAGAGAACTTTACAGAAATTTTTATTCTACATGGGGCTTCAGGTCCTATATCAGTAGAAGGCAGACTTGAGCCTAAGTATTTATTTCACTATGCCTGAAGGCTTTCTGAAGTAGTGATGTGGGTGAAATACAGGTGACCTTTAGAGTGCGACTCCTCAGAAATCAATAATCAGAAGACAGATATTTCCCCCCCCATTTACAGTGTCTAATCTTGAATTAAATCAGTTATTTAAAAATAACTACTATGCTGATTAGAATTTATGAAAAATCATAAATATATCAACTGAAGATAGTCATTCTTCTAGTCCATGTCACCTGTTTCTCTCATGTCTGTTTCATCTGATTTCTGCGCCAATCTATCTCTAAAAGTAATCCTGTTAACATTTTGATTTTTTTAAAATACCAAGAATTGTTGGCATAATTGAGAAGTTCAAAAAATCAGTACGGTGATTATGTACATTTCAATCTACTTTATTTGTCCAGACGTTGGGGATCAGATCACTTCATAATGGAAATCACAAAGTGTTTTCCTCAAGCATCAACAAATTCAGACCAACCCCCTCCTCAATCAAATATGAAAAAGAGCAAAATGAACATAAATGTATAAAATCGCAACAGATTTTTACCTATTAGTGCTATTTTACACTCTCATGAATATTCTAAAACATGGAACAGGCTCAAGTTTTCAACTCTAGTTTTCTTAGCTTGCTTAACTTTTTCAGTGATGCAGAATAACTGTGCAATTAACAGTACTTGATTTAGGTAAACCAATAATTCTGGTCCCTTCAGCAGAACTGAAATTTATGAGTTTTCCACAATTCTCTATTACCATTACTTCCTAACTTCTCTCTGGAAGGATTCTAGATATTTTTTTATGACTAATTTGCATTCTATTTTCTCTTATCTTTATTTCCAGGTAGCTTTCCAAAATACTTAAATTTCTTTCTTTCCAGGCTAACCTACTTAGATACAGCAATGAACGTAACAAAACAAGGAGAGAATTAAATGACTTCTTTATAATGATGCTAATAAATTGAAGCTATGCATAATCTATGTAATCAGATGGCTTATATATAATACCTGTACTCTGAACAGCCAGAATTAAAATAAGACTTCTTTCAATACATTTAATTAATGCCTGTGTGTGTGTGTGTGTGTGTGTGTGTTTAAAGCAAGATCAGAAGCCTAACAGGACCTTTGCTCAAATGTAATCAAATCTAATGCATTTGGAAACCATCCGAGCTCCAAGATTCACAATGATTTTTTGGGGGGAGGGGGGTGCCTTAGAATCAGTCTTGACTCCTGGTGATTGCCTGGATTAGTCTCTGCAGTTTTCTTGGCAAGATTTTTGGAAATGGTTTGCCATTGCTTTCTTGCTTGTTTCTTCCTGAGGTAGAGTGACTGGGCCAAAGTCACTCAAGCTGGCTTTGTGCCTAAGGTGGCACTAGAACTCCTGGTCTCCTGGCCTCTAGCCCAGTGCCCCAATCACTACACCAAATTGGCTCTCCCACAATGGTATTGCTAAGCTGTATATTCTCAGTTTCAATGTGGGTTTATGATTAAAATAATACAGGTAGTCCTCGACCTACATCCATTCTACAGCAACTCTTCGAGGTTACAACGGTGCTGAATGAATGGTAGTTACGACTGGTCCTCAGAGTTCCAGCCATCTCAGCACCCTGTGGTCATCTGATCACAATCTGGGCACTTGGCAACTGGTTCGTTCTTATGACCAGTTGCAGCACCCTGCGATCACGTGATCACCATTTGCAACCTTCCCTGTTGGCTTCCCCAGAAAGACAATGGGGAAACTGGCAAGAAAGGTTGCAAGTCACTGGGTAAGTTTCTCCCACTCATGCACCCTCCCCCAGCTCCTTTGTGCTCACGCTGCACCAGCCACTCATGCACCCCCACACCCTCAATGTACCTCCCCCACACTCTTGCACACCCCTGTGCATCCTTCCTGAGCCTCGATGCACCTCCCTCACACCCTCACACACTTTCCTGACCTGCACCATGCCTCTCATGCACTCTCTCGTATCCTCATGCACCCTCCCCGACCCACACCGTGCCTCTCGTGCACCCCCTTGCAACTTCCCCAACCCAACTTTAACATGCCTCTTGCATACCCCCTCGCAACCTCACTGACCCTCCCTCACACTCTTGCGCACCCTCCCCTGCACCTCCTCGCTTTCTCCCCCACCCAGCAGCAATCACTTTTCTTCCTGCCAACTTGGGACTTGCAACTTCCTATCAGTTTTCCCACTGACTTCTGTTGTGGGAAGCGGGCGGGAAGTTGCCTTGCCTAATGACCATGGGATTTGGTTAATGACAGCAACCAGTACTTCAGGGGTTGCTGTCGCTAAGCGATGTGATTGTGCTTTGCGACCACATCACATAGTGATGGAAATCCTGGTCCCAATTTCTGTCGTAAGTCAATGACTATCTGTATCTACTGCCCCAAAAGATATGTTGTTGGCATCCTGGGATGTGTGTTAAAACAGCCAGATGGTGGTTGTGACACTGTGATTGAAGCCCTGCCCCTTTGTACCTACATGCCAATTAATGCAAAAGGAGGGACCTCTAGCCTGTTTTGACCTCCCCTGACTCCCTGGGTCTCTGTCCCCAAAACAGTGCATCAATTATATTTTGCTAGATTCCCAGTAGACTGCATGCCTCACTTGATTTAATTATTTTCATATTTCTAATTAAGAAAGGCCCCACATAGGCCTTAGAAGTACTCCTAGAAAATTAAAAAAAACAAAAAACAGTTGGTGATTGAATCCAGTACTTTGTTTGGAAAGTGGAAAGGCTCAGAGAGAGTACCTAGCCTAAAGTCACCCAGTAAGATTCCATGGCTGAGGACAGACTTGAACCCAAGCCTCCACCGATCTAGTACCAACATCTTCACTATTATGGATCACTAGTAGATTTTTTTCTTTAGAAACTTCTTGTGATCTGTAATTATTTGAACTCTCTCTAGTTTCCACAGAGATTCTGGGCAAAGAGCTCTTCATTTCCAGAGGCAGACTGGAAATTATCTTTTTTTAAAATGTTTTTGGTTATTTCTATGAGATTAACTTATCTCCCTGGGGAAGGAAGGGTTGAAATCTCTAGTTAAAATACCTCTGTGCTACATGGTAAGGAGGTGATACTATAAAAGTGATTTCAACTTTTGCATTTTAACCTTTAATTGCCAGAAAGGCAGCACAGGGTATAAAAGCTCTACTTCTCTCACACACCAATGTTAGAAGGTGAAACTTCCCAAAGGATTGATGGTGGAAGCAGGAACTACCAAGCCTCTATCCAAAGCATGAGGTGGGATCAGTATGTGAAAACCCAGATAGTAGAAGTTTTCACCTCCAGCCTTCTGCTCTGTGGACCTCAGCATTAATATGCAGGCAAAAATGAGTAATGATGTTGAAAGAGAAACTGGTTGCTATAATTAAAGGGAATAACAGAGCATAGAAGTAGCACAACATATTTCCTGAACAAAATAAACCTGCTAAGAGGGTTTTCTAGCACAACCAGAAAGAAGGTGCACTGGCTATCATCGGAAAATGGAAAAAGAATAACTTTGCAGAAAATCAGGAAAACAGGTAGAAAACAAAGTACCTTCCCCACCCCACGCCTATGAAACATGACATTCAGAGCATGAGGCAAAGTTGGTACTCGCACAGAATTCTAAAACTTCACAAACTCCAACAAGCTCTGTTGTTATAGAAAGCTATGTACCCTATGCAGGCATGTAATTTAATTTAGAATTTTAATTTGGGTTGCCACCACTCTAGCACATAAAGCATCTATTTGTGCTGAGAAAGGTAACAAGAGGCATTAAGTTTGGACTCCCAGACTGTAGTTGAAAAGTTATCATCTAACTAATCTCTGTGTGTGTCCTCTAGTATAATTTAGGCAAAAACAAGCCTTAAGAATTCCAGAAAAATACAAATGCCAATCTGATTACCAATTCATCATCCAAAAAAAAATCTGTAAATTGGCCAGTCAATATCCTTGGCAGGAAACATAACCCAATCCTAAAATAAATTAGCAGGTTAAACCACCATCTGAACATTCCTTGTGGTACCCATTTTGTTATGCTACCTTCAATTAAATGTCATGCAGAAGATTGGATTTTATGTCAGGCAGCTGAGTTTCAATTCTATCAAGCAGCAGGAAGTTCTGTGATGTTCTTTTATTGCCTAGAATCAAGCTACTTATTCTTTTTCTTTAGTTGAGCCCAGAGTCATTAATATCTTTGTATTCCTTGTTACGAAGTCTGAAATTGCCACTGTGTTACATACTTCAACTGTGGGATAGTGTGAGCAACCTTGCTGTCATAGAACTCCAAGATCAGAATGGAGTTCACTTAGCTCACTCCTTATCTTTGTATCGTTTCACTTAAATAAAATGCTAGTGCAGTATTAGGCCTTTCCTGTGTCAATGCTATGAATGTATTTTTCCTCTATTCACTAAAACAATTGTACAAAGAAAATTTTGAATACAATCTCTCACAACATGTTAGTCTTCTTTGTCCAGAGATGAAAGCTACTAAATTCTGAAGTGGCAGAGCCTGATACAGTTTACAGTCTAGGCGAAAAGCAAGGTTTGTTGCATAATAGTCCAGTGTTATCTGCTTGGATAATCCATTAACATCTGCTTATATTCCTTTATCTACAGTGAAAACTCTAAATAGAATTAGTTGTTACTATGCTTGAGTAAGCCAAATCTTGGTCATTTCATGATCCAAAAGGTAACCTTCCATTAATCTGACATGCTCACGACTAACCTCAGGTTGATCCAAATAAATGACCTGCCAATCTCTTACTATTTTCCCCCATCAAGAAGAAAAAATTAGCAAAATATTTACCCCATCTGGTAGTGCCCTCCAGCATACAGCACTGACAAATTCATTTGTGTCATCCTCCTTACGGTCTTTGTCCAGGACACTTTTGACAGTGTCGAATTTGAAGGTTAGCAGTGTCTTTGAGAGGCCTTTATAGTACAGGTAGAGTGAATTATTTTCACTTCCTACAATCAAAAACAAAAACACAGGCTGATTTACAATATTTTTTTCTGACAGCTCCAGCCCAATCTATGCTTTCCACTAAAACTGTTCTGACTAAAGCAGAAAACTCTAGCATAGGAGTTAGATTAATTATAAGATACATAATTTGATATAACCAACTCATTCCAAATATCCAATATCCAGAAAGTGAATGGAAGCAGCTATCAAGGGCAATACAATTTTAAACTTTTTAACTAGAAGCATAAATTTGAAGATGTAGCATTTGCTACTTTTCTGTGCAATGGCATGACTCCAGATGTTAGAAGATATTTTCTATGACCTTCTTTAGATGTTAGAGTTCAAGGAGAACGCTGAATGCTGAAAAACCAAAAAGGATTTAGAAGATAAGAAGTGATAAAAAGTCCAGAGTGCAAAGGAGATTACACTGAAGGATTGGGGTTATTTTTCATTACTGAAAAGAACAATAAGATATGTTACTGTACTATACGTTACTATATGTTATCAACTGGAATACTGAAAATTGAATAACAGTTCTTTTCCTTGTCTTTTTGAAGTTTGAGATTACTCAGTTTTTCTAGTTGATTTGAACTATACTGATATGGGATAAACAAATTCCTAATTCCTAATTATGTATTCAAGGTTTTAAACCTCCCTCTTCTATATTTCTTGAAAACAGGTCAGCAGGCAGCTGTTAGGAACATTTTTAAACATAAGAATTTCTTTTTTCTCAAGAAAAGGGGATGGATTCATTCTATGATATTCTTATTAGATTTTTTGATATCTCATAGCAAATAGGTCCTTAATAAGTAATAATAGATGGTTATTGAGGCCAAGAATATTTAGTTTTATGACTGCAATATAAGTTACAATATGCTAAGTATATCAAGGAATTAGGATGCCTTGGGATCTTTAACTTCGTTGTGATACATTGTCATAAACTGGACATTTATAAATGCTTAAACTTGACAGTATATTTTAAACCCCTTTGCTCAACAGCTGTTTACTTACCACAGGCAATATAGTCTCCATTAGATGCCAAGCCTACAAAATTCTTCTCATTGATGTGACCCTTAAAAGAACGCAAACAATGTGGCTTCCCTACATTCCATAGCTTTAGCTGGCTGTCTGTTGACCTGAGGAAAGAGATACAAGCTTACAGGTAAATTGGAAATTAGGAAAGACTCCTTGGGAAATTATAGACATTTGACCAGGTAGGTAAAATCACCACATACTAGGCAGAAAACAGATTTCCAATACCATTTTTGCATGGGACAATGCAGTCAAAGAGGGAAGTTGCATTCAACAGAAACTGCTCCCTAGGTTCTGCCAAAGTTTTGTTTTCCAAGCAAAAATACTTTAAGTCTTTTAGAAAAGGGAGGGGAAAAAAGCGAAAACTTGTTTCAAGTAAAGAAGTCAGCTTTAGTATCAACAGCCTTCCTTTGCTGCCTCTACAATTTATTAGATAATACATATTCATAGAAAAATGAAAAGCCACAGAGAATCCCAAGATACATTTTCCTGTAAAATCCTGTTAAATTTACTGAAATTTACATAACATTACTGTCTTTTGTTCCTTGCATTTAATTCATTGAGGCTTACACCACTGGAATGAATCCCAAAGTATACTTGTTATACAGAATCATAGAACTGTGGAATTGGAAGGGATGATAAGGATCATCTACTCCAACCTTCTTTAATGTGCAGGAAAACCAATTAAACCATCCACAAGAGATGGCTGTCGAGATTCTTTTTTAAAATCTCTACAGAGATGGAGAACCCAAACCTACATAAGTAGACTGTTCCACTATTATACAGATCTTAGCATCGGGATGTTTTCCTTATATTTAAGCAAAATCCAGATAGCTGCAACTTGTATCCATTATTTCTAGTTACTTCCTAACTATCTTCCCTATGAGCCAGTTTGGTGTAGTAATTAAGGCACCAGGCTAGAAACTGGGAGACTGAGAGTTCTAGTCCTGCCATAGGCACAAAGCTGGGTGACTCTGGGGCAGTCCTCTCTCTCAGCCCTAGGAAGGAGGCAACGGCAAACCATTTCTGAAAAACCTCACCAAGAAAATTGCAGGGAGGTGTCCAGGCAGTCACCAGGAGTCAACACTGACTCAAAGGCGCACACACAGAAAAAAATCTTCCCTATGGTGTCCATTTATGTACCTGAAAACTGATATGCCTCCGTTCAGTCTTCTTTTTTCTAGACTGAACACACTTTCAGCCTGTCCTCAGAGGAGATTCCATTAAGTATCTGTATCATTTTTGGTTTATCACTTGACTGATCACTGTCCCACCTCTGACACTACTATAGCACCAATGGTTCCATCCTCACAGTCCACAAGCTAAATGGAAATGGAAAACAAATTCTATACCCTTAACTTATACATAAAGGCTTTACCCCTATTCTGGAATCAAATTATACAGGGTTTCATAGACAAAGGAAAGTCCACATGCATCTTGCAAGATATCCATATCTGATGCATGGGTGACATTGCACATATGATCCTCAATGCATACTGTTTTGAAATGTTCAGGTCTCTGGAACTTTACACTGCAAAATTCTTTAGCCTGGTGCAGAAGAGGTAAAGCCAGAATGCTCCATGTTTAAAAAACTTAGAACTCTTTTAGGAGACAGCATACACAGCTGAATAATGGAGACTAATTTGCAGGCTATTTACATTTTTCAGATGAAGCAAATCCTTCTAAGTTAAGTCCATTTGTCTAAAATCACAGAACTACCATGAGGGAAAAATCAGTCCAAACTACTTCTGAAAGTAAATGAATTGGGAATGTTATGTATTCATACAGTGTGCTTCTACAATGAGTACTCTAATAAAAAAGTTTACAGAGTTTGGTTGTATGTTTGACATCCCACTGGACAGAAAGCCTACAATGGGTGGGAAAAAAGGCTGCAAAAACATAGTAACTGCTTGATACTTCTCACAACATAAAAGTATCAGAAAAAATAAATGTATCACGCATTATGCTTAACCATAAAATAGTTAAACAGCAAGTAAGCTCTCTTTAGAGTTCTGCCCACAGGCATTGGATCTCCCTTAAGTCATTGGAATGATGCTGCTTGCAAACCAAACTCTACAGTTTGCAAATGTATTAAAAAAGTCTTACGACCACAGGAAAACAATACTTCCAGCCCACTGCAAATCAAATGTTATGCATAATAAATAGATGTACTAAGTTAGACTTAATACTTTTTTTAAGAAAGCCCCTCCAATTACCAAAATATTTTCCATTCCTCTATGTGTGTTAGTACATTGCATTCTAAGTTGGTAAGAAATGGTATGTTGGCTTGGAAGACAGTCTCTAGATTAGAGATCCCAGCTTGGAAGAACAATATGGCTTGCTTGGGCTAAAACTGAGTTTTACCTGCACTTGTGACATACTAGTCAAAATGTGCCAAAACCAATGAGTACTATATGTACTGTTAGCAGGGAATGCCCTGCTAACCTAATCTGGTAACCTAGTCTACATATTTTCTATATTACTAAAAAGCATTATATGAAAACTTCAATTGACCAAAGTCATGATTGGCATGGAGGACAGCATCTATGGACCAATCTGATCACAACAACTATGCTGTATGGAAAACTGTGATTTGGTTGGATTTGATGAGATCCAGGGAAAGAGAGAAGAGAGGTTTAAAAAAAAAAATGGATCAGTGTAGGATGGTTTAGAAGGATAGATAGGTATGGAGAGATACTATAGTGACTGGTGCTGGTATAAACTAAATTTAGCTCTATTTCCTTTTCTTTTTTTAGTTCATGCCTTAATTTCTTTGGCTTACCATTTCTAATTCATTTTTTGCACTTTGCATAGTGTTGTTTTCTGTTAAAGGGAATAGGTATGTATGTATATAATACAATAACAGTTTTGTTCCCATGGGAAGAGAATTGGTCTTTGTTTAGAAGACTGAACATTATGGAAAACAGTAAACTATGGGTAATCAGGAGGGGAGGGGAGGCAGAACCATATTAGATTATGGTGTTCCTGACCAAAAGGAGTATTAATTCTTCACACCAAAGAGAAAAGGTAAAGTGTGGAAGTTCTATTGAATGATAATTGTGCTTAACAAAGCTGCTGCCACAATTCAGGGAAGCCTGCTTTGTCGTAAGATCTAGACACCTGCCAGTATATTAATTCCCAGAATTCTCCAGTCAGCTTGGTCATTTCTGAGAATTTTGGGAGTTGATCCACATATCTGGAAGGCATCCAAGTCAGTCATCCTATCTGACTACAGCAAACAATCTAATATGATATATTTTTATTATATTTTAACAAACAATATCAGGTAACTACATTAACATAAATCCAAGATGCATATAGAGGGAAAAGAAGAAGAAAAACTACAGAAAATACAAAAGAGATCTACTGCAATGAGAATAGAGAGACAGGTACTGTACATATAAAAAATTGCCATATAAATTGTCATACACACACACACACACACACACACACACAGTATACCAGATTATAGTATTGCTATTGAGATAAACCGTAAAATCCATCCAGATTTGATGGAATAGTGGTTCCTGCCTCTGATGTCTCATTAATTTAACTTTGTGATTTTTTTTTAGTAGAAATTGAAGAGGCCTTATTAATCCATAACTCAATTATTATATTATCTAGAGTTTTCCAATGTTGCCCAATTATTATTTTGGCTGCTAAAATTAAATAAATAATACGTTTTTTATTTTTAAGCTTATGGCTTGGTCCTGTAAATAAATGCAGTAAGCCTAGCTCTGGGAAGCATTCAATTCTTTGATTAGTGATAGTACTTATCTCCCCAAAGAATGTACGCCAAAAGGATATAACTTTATTGCATGACAACCACAAATGAAAGAATGACCCCTTTTTTAAACAACCTTTGATATACTGATCAACCTTTGACAATTTTGATATATATGTGCCAATCTAACAAGAGTTAAATGCCAACGATGAATAATCTTCCACTGCACTTTTTGCATTGAAGCTGAAGTGAATCCACCCGATTTCCATAACTTCTGCCAATTTATCTCCTGTGTGGGATTACCAAGATCAGTATCCCAAGCTTCCTTTAAACCACATAGTGGATCTCCTATTTCTGATTGCAATAATAATCTATAAATTTTTGAAAATGTCCCTTTTGGTTGTTCTAAATAATGAAATATTAAATTCATGACATAGGGCCATGTTGCTGAAGCTCTAATATTTCAATTACCCAAAAGAGATCTGAGTTGATACAAAAGAACCATAGTATCTTATCACCTATTTGTTGCTCAATCTGATCTTTATCAAAAGGTTCCCTATTACTATAAAAATCTTTTAGTCTATAAAGATTATATTCTTTAAAAGATTTCATTTTAGCCAAACCACAATAATTATCCTGCTCGATATATGTTATTAGAGGAGTTAAAGGGGAAGTATCCTTTATCAAGACTGTGTATTTACTCTTCCAAATTTGAAGCACTGTTTTAGTAAAAACATTTTCAATATGCTTTGTTCTATAAAAATATTTTGGGTGAAAAAAACATTAATTTATAAACTTATCTAGATCTAATATAGCTTCAGTTTGAATCCATTGTTTAGAAGATTCTTCCATAATAAATGGAATCATATGCCCTAACTGCACCACTTGATAATATATTAACAAATTGGGCATACCCCAGCCTCCCTGTTTCTGAGGTCTATATAAAATCCTTTGATTCACTCTCAGTTTTTGTGCATGAAAGCAGAAGCTTTCTATTATTATTATTGTTGTTGTTGTTGTTATTTTGCCAATGTCGTAAAGCCTGTTCAGGAATTACCACTGGGAGGCATTGAAATAAAAAGTTAAGCCGTGTAAGAATTTTCATTTTTACCACTGCAATTCCCCCTAAAATACTGAAATATTTTAAAGCCCAGTTTTGTATTTCTTTGTTTAATTTCTTCCACGTTGATACATAATTATTTGTGAAAAAGTTATTAATATTTTTCATAATAGTGATGCCTAACTATTTTAAAGATTTATATACTATTGGAATCCGTAAAACTATGAAAATTTCCTTTTGAGTTTTTGGGGGTATGTGAAAAAACATCAAACGTGATTTACGAAAATTAACTGATAGTCCTGACACTTCTGCAAATTCCTCTACCTCCTTCTTAATATACTGTAGGTAGCTGAATAAGAAGCATTTGACAGAGTCAATATCATATCATCTGCAAACAGATTTAAAAGATAAACTTATCTCCTATTTTTATCCCATTAATCTGATTTTTGGATCTAAGTGCTATTGCCAGTGCTTCTATAGCTAGAGTGAATAGTAAAGGTGATAAAGGACAACCCTGCTTGGTACCTCTTAAAGTTGTGATGGGATCTGAATCATAACTGTTAAGTCTTCTCTGAACTTTAGTTGATCCATAAATATGTTCAATCATCTCACAAAAGCCTGCCCCAAATTTAAATTTAATTAATATTTATTTTAAAAATTGTATTTCCAGAGAATCAAAGGCTTTAAATATATCTAAAGAACATATTGCTAATGTAGATTTATTAATTTTACTAATTTGTACAATATTTAATCATTTCCTAATAAGGGTAGATATATCTTGGTTTGGAATAAAGCCAGATTGGTCCATACGAATAATTTTACCTATAATCACTTTTAATTGGTTAGCTAACAGTTTAGGATACTGTTTATAATCTGTATTGAGAAGTGAGATGGGCCTATAAAATGCCAAATCCTGGGAATTTTGACCCAGTTTAAGGATCAAAATTATCTTAGACTGTTTCCAAGATTCTAGTAAAGATTCCCCTGGTGCAAAGTACTGCATAAAAATTCAGGTATTAAGACTTCCTTAAATGCTTTATAAATTTCCCCTGACAATCCATCTGGGCCAGGAGATTTTCCATTTTGAATAGCATTAAAGACTTCAGTTATTTCTGAAATAGAAAAGGGAGATTCCATAAACTGTATAGCTTCTGGAGCCAATTCTAGGAAGATTAATCTATTTAAATATTGATTAATTTTTATTGGTGATGGATTATTTGAGGAATATAATTCTTGGAAAAAAGTTTGAATTGTCACTTATACCTTTAGTTTTGGTCACAATTTGACCATTGCTATTTTTAATTGCACTAATGCATTTTTTTCTCCTTAGCTTTTTTCAATTTGTTTGCCATTATTCTAGACCTTTTATTATTGTATTTATAGTATCTTACCTACCTCCAAATCATCCAACTCTCTCCTTTTATTTACTATCTGTTTGTAAATACTATCTAATCCAGTTCTGTTAGTTTGCTAATAAACTGTTAATTTCTAAATAAAGCTTACTTGTCTTTTGTGCTGATATTTTTTTTAATCATGTTCATCTGGTTTATACACTCTCCTCTTAATATTGCCTTCACACATCCCATCTTGTTCTTACTGATGTTTCATTTGCATGATTTTCTTGAAAAAGGTTGCTCAAAGTTTGAGTTAATCTTTGCTTTGCTGCTACATTGTACAGCATTATAGGAATAAAATGCCAATTATAAGTAAATGGAATGATTTCTTCTAATTTGAGAATAATCATCATTGTAGTGTGATCTGACATAAGTATTGGTGCAAATTTAATGTGTTGCAAAAAATTTTAAAAAGGTTTAGATATCCATATATCCTAGAATCCGATTTATGTTTACCTGAATAAAATGTATGTGCTTTTGTTGCAGGGTTCATAATTGTCTATGTATCTATGAGTCCAAGACTATGCATTAAGTTTTGAAATCTCTTGCGCATTCCAAACTGAGGTTTTAACCTCACTTTAACAGTTAATCAGTTGGAAAAAACTGATCTAAGATATGGAATGCCCTATCTGACTATAGCAAACAATCTGTAATCAAGGTCACCTCTCTTTTCTAGGCTTATGATTGGGGATGCAGTCCTGAAGAATGCTCTTGGCTTCTACTTGAGATGCAGAGATTTCCTGGCAAGTACCTTTATCCTTAGCAGGAAATTTTTAAAAATCAAAATCAGCACCCTGGGTTCAAAATCTGCTAAGTTCCAGTACACAATTAATATTTACAGATGTGAGGAAAAAAAGAGAAGATAACAACTAACGTTTAGGTTGAAGTAAAGGGTAAGATTTTGCCTGGAGTATTTTTAAATCCAAATTTATTCTAATCATTACACAAGTTGTCTTCTGCCAATCTCTAATTGTTTACTTGTTAATTTGATCAAATGATTCCTGCCTAAGCCTCCAAAGTTCAACTCTGCAAATGCAGCAAAATCTCAGGTTGTATGTTACCACATGAGGGCACTCCTACAATTCTCAGAACATCTGCAAGTAAAAGAATCTACCTTTCAGAAAAATAATGAATACAAATATTATCTCTTCTTCAGTGATTACTATACTATCTGTACAAAGAGAAATGTGAATTTAAGTCTTCACAGAACTAGGCATTTGTTTCAGTATGCTGTCAGCTACTCCTTCTAAAAGTGTTGCTGAACAGAATAAGAACTATGCAAACAAAAAACAAGTAGCCACTAAATTAATTGAAAAGATAGAAGAATATGGAAAAGCAGCAGGATTAAAAATAAACAAAGATAAAACAAAGATATTAACAAAGAATATGCTAGCAAGGCAAAAGAAAGAATTGGAAGAAGTCTTGGAAATACAGGTCACAAACAGGGTTAAATACCTAGGGATATATATTACACCAAGATGTAGTACATTGAAGGAGGTACTTATAAGTGTAGTACATTGAAGGAGGTACTTA